TCAGTGTTAGGCAATGTATTTCGTACATTCTAATTAACATTATTTATTCTCATCAGTAGATTAATATCTATTATTTGAAAATTGTATTTGTAGATTAGTGTGCAATCACCATTGGATCCATTCATCCAATGAAATTTTTGTTATATGTATTACTTACTGCTTATGTGTCTAATTCATTTGGACGCCTTACATAATTGGAACTTCACGATTTACATGCACACTGTTATGTCGGGTTTGGAGTATGGTGCGCACGTGTTCCATTGTGAGAACCAACACTAGGCGGATGGCTTCTTCACAGAGACATCAGATGAGGAGAAAGAGGACGATGATCTAGACACATACATTGCCGACCATACCTCAGATGTCCCCCGGGCTTCACCATCATTATATATACCTGTTACCCTACAGCCACCATTCGAGGATGGGGAGTCCTCTTCACATCCTCCACCGCCTTGAGTTCCGCAAGATATCCTATTTGAAGACTTTTTTTCACACTTGACTCAAGGGAATAAAATACAAGATCTTCTAGAGCAAAGTACATCATTGGTTCATCGTCAGCCACAACGACAAATACGCGGTAGGCGGTGTGGTACGGAAAGTCAATTCCTAGTTCCACGACATTCACTCGCCAATGACTCCGACTCATAGACATTTTTTAGATTACCATTTTAGTTCTTATGTTAGATTTTAAAAATAACTATTTCTGTTTTACATTGAATACTTTTTCAGTTTATTATTTTTTGCTTCCTTCGTCATTGAGTATTTTTGTCTACTTTTAATTTTTTTGGTCAAAATTAATAAACTTATACTTCAAATTAAATAAAATACTAGTCTTGACACCCTTTGTTTTGTAGAACTTTTGATATAATTTTTAAATATATTAATTTTATTTTTTTAATTTTACATCTACAATTAAATAAATTGATTTAAAAATAAAGTCAGTCAAACCACGTAAATACAAACGGGAAGATAATTTTAGGACGGAGGAAGTACTTTTTGTTTTCGTAACGGTGCATTTGACAGTCTCACAAGATTATTATGTATGAATCAACATATACATATGTACATGAGTTTAAAAAATATGAAATCTTTTTATTAAAAAAATATATTTAGATTTATTTAAAACAAAAAATACATAAATAAATATTTTTTTTAAAATTTCAAAAATAAAATTTAAAATTTAAAAGACCAAACGGTACATCATCTACCGTTTGAAAATTAATTATTTTTTTAAAAGAAACGGTACTTCATCTACCGTTTGAATATAGAAAATTCTGACCTTCACTGATCCGGAATGCTTTATCCTAACCAGCACTGATTGGGAATTAATTCGGTGCAGGGAGCGGTGTAGATGATGATGTGATGGTGGGAAAACTTCCCATTTCTATTTTAGGAAAGTTTTTGTAATTGAAATGTCCCTTATGCCCTTATTCCTTCCCTTCCTTTCTTCTTTCATCTTCGATTTTTTTTCTTGATTTTTTTGTTTCTTTCTTTTTCTTCTTTTTCTCTTTTTCTTTCTTCTTCCGTCATTCTTCTTTCTTTAATTTTTTCTTCCTTCTTCCTTCTTCCATCTTCTTTTCTTTCTTCTTCCGTCTCTTCTTCTTTCTTCTACATTTTTTTCTGTTTCTTCTTCATTCTTCTTCTATCAACTTGAATAAGAAAAAAAATTCCAGATTTGCAGCGATTTTTTTTTCAGATTTGCAGCGATTTTTTTTATTCCAGATTTGCACCGAAATTCCAGATTTGCAGCGAAAAAATCCAGCTGCGGGTTGCGTCTTCGCCGGATCTAGATTTGCATCGAATTTTTTTTTTTCAATTTTGTCCAGATCTGAGGTGGGATGTTGACGGCGAGAGAATGCCGGGGATGCAGGTTGTGACGGCGAGAGAATGCCGGGGGCTGTGATGCCAGGGGATCTTTGGAGCAGCACTATTCTAATATCTTCACCGAATCTGGGAAAAATGGCACCATCTTCGTCATATCGGAAGGAGTGTGCCTTGCTTCTTCGGATCTGAAATAGATTTGAGAGCTTTTCTCTACCATGGATGAATTTTGGGTCTGGATTTTCTCTTTGAGGATTTTTTAAACTGGTGTGACTTGATATTTGGGATCTTGTGTTTGTTGAATGTTTATTTTGGAATAAATCTTGGACTTGTGTCTTGAAGGAAGAACACAGAAGAAGAAAAAGGTTCCTTAAGATGAAAGGGGCATTTTAGTAAAGTCAATGTTATTTTCATGTCTCCTAAATATGCGTGCCCGGTCAAATCGGGAAGTTCTTTTATGGACGGAGGGAGTATTACATGCTACATATACACGTATTTGTCCATATACACATGTATTTTAGATATAAAAATGACTAGTACTTTGAGAAGTTAATTAGAAAAACAAAATATATAAACAGAAATTTGGAAAAAACTATTTATAACGGATCAAGTACACGAATAAACGGTTACTCAAAAGAATGTAGATGCAGAACAGATTATAAACGAAATCGGATATATGATTATCAAATTCATATTCTTTACGAATCGAATGTCCTTAATCAATCGGACACGGATAATAACTACTTCAAATGGACACAAATATTTTTTGTTTAAACATAACCAAATGCGGGTGAGAATCGAATGTTCGATTATCCTGAGAATCGAATGTTCGATTATCCATCTACTGCGGAGTGATGATGGGTAGGAAAAGCATCTATCACAATCAATCTGTGGTGCAGGGAGCGGTGCAGATGATGATGTGATGGTGGGAAAACGAACGAAGTCGGCCCTTTTTATAAAAAAGTGAACAGTGTTTGTTTGTAGGAGTATGTCGTATCCACTGTTAATTGATGATGCAAGCACATGGCCATCCCTCACTATGCGTCAAACACGTCACCATATATCCTCTTCATGCTTTGTTCATCTTTAGTTGGATGAATTTATTTTGATTTAAATAAATTTTGATCTTATATATAATTTGAATATATGAATAGTTATATTTAAATATGTTTTTAATGAAAGAGCATCCTCAATATAGAGGGCTTCTTGGGACTTTCGCGGGTAAATTTCACCAATGGTACCTTAACTTTAGCTGGAATTTCGAAATGGTACCTAAACTTCAAATCCTTTCACAAAAATCCCTAAACTTACACAATCCTTTCACTAAAAGTCCATTTGCCTGTTTCTAGTTTAACTTCCGGTCATTTGGGTCAAATTAGAATTTTATATATTTTAAAATTTTCAATTTGACCCCATTTCTTTTTTTCTTTTCTTCCGCTCCCCGCCGCCGCCGCACCACGTTAAAGTCGCCGGAAAATCAATCTGGTCATATTCTGGCGGGACCAACGCCGTTCTCTTCATCTTGAGATGAGGATCAAGAATATCCAAATAATTTTGTCCAATTTGGCATGCAACTCCTCGAATTTGAATTTCTCAACTCGAAAAAACCCTAAAATCCAAAATTGGAGGGGTTTTGCAAATCGCCATCAAATCTTGCAATTGAGGGGTCCTTGGGGGTCGCCGAGATGCCACGAACACTTTGGAGGGGATGAGCGACGTCAATTTTGCCGGAGGTAGCCGGAAAACGTTCCAACCCGCCGGATATGGACCCTAGAATCATAAAAACACAACTTTTCATTTAACATACAAACTAATTTAAAGTTGTTAATTTGATCTGATGTGTTTTTAATAAAAATAATTAATAAATAAAAATGACCATGTTCTTTTGACACTGCTCAATAATGTTATATTATGATATAATAGTTCCAGTGATCTGATAGAAAAATTTGTAGTTATTACTTCTTACTCCCTCCACAAAATACTAAATGCTACATCTCTTTAGCATTATGACATTTTGGGATGGGGGCAAGGAGTTTAAGGGACTAGGACTATCATTTTCGAATTTTGATCGAAACACAATAACTTTTATTGTCAGGATATAACAACAAATGTTGTCGTCAAAAGGACTGAAGCAAAATAATAAAGCCGGAGTCTAAAGTTTTGTCCTCAAATACAACTAAAATTGCGGGGTGCAATTGACGTAGGTGGGGAGATGAGTTGAGATCGGGACTGGACAAGGAGAATTACCGGGGGAGTTAGAAGAGTAAGAATCATCAATTTTACAAACAAAGCATTGTAGGTGTCTGAATCGGGACAGTGGCTTCTGTAGCCACCGAAACCCAGTGGCCCGCCATAAAATTAAAAGGATCTCAATTAAACTGTTTTTTATTATATATAATTAGTTGTTATTTAATAAATATTTGAAATAAAATTTATTATATATTTGGTCATTTTATTTAGCCAATTTCAAAAAAGAAAAAATTGGAGGTGTTGCCCTGGGCCCCATCCAATGTTTCCCCTCAACTATCTAAGATCATGGATTTGTCGTCATTGACTAGAAGGAAAAATAAATGTATAAAAAAAGTAAGCTAAATCCTTCTCTTTCGATGAAGAAAATGAAAGAAATATCTAATGGATTCTAGGATGAGGCAATACAAACAATAGATAGAAAGCTTGTAATACGTATTACTCCCTCCGTCCCTAAGTGTTTGTCCACTTTCATTTTTGCACACCATCGAATGCACTTCTTTAATCCATTTTATCTTGTAATTTGTATATTAAAAAATTATAAAAATTATATATTAATAATCTATATGTTAAGACGAATCAAACAAGATCACACATGACTATTTTTAGGCTTACACATTGAGAGAATTTGATAAGTCAAAGTGCTTAGATGAATAGTTCCAAAAGTCAAAAGTGGACAAACACTCAGGGACGGACCAAGTAATTAACTTAAAGTCCGATCCCCTTTTCCCTTGACGGGGGAGGGGGAGCTATTTAGGCCCCATTAATTATATTTGTCTAGTTCCTATGATAAATCGTCTTCCTAATGACGATTATCTCATTGACCACGCCCGGGATACATTGCCTTCTCATGGCGTCTTGGGCTTCTTATTGCTGAGTTTGTGCGGCCTCTGAGGAGTTGACGTCCTAGTCTGGTACTGGATGCAAAGGGATGCCCGGGGGACGAGTATATCTGACGCAACCGAGTGCGACTTGTGGGCCTGGTGTCTCGTCGCCCTCTTTAGGTTGAGGGGAAGTTCCAGGCCGAGCGCGATCCTCTCAAAATGGATATGATCCGGAGAGGCCCATCTACATACGCCCAAGAGACCGAGCCCATATCTACATCAATTTCACTTTCTTGTTTTTAATTTCGATTTTTAGGAACTAAACACAATGTGAGGAGAACTCAAAATTTGTATCATTTTCACCGACATACATAGATATTTAACAAGAAAATTATCTATAGACATATAAGTAGGGGTGGGCACAGTACGGTCCGGTCCAATCCGGTTCTTGATTGAACGTGATTGTGACTAGTAGTATATTTTACACCGTACAAAGTACTACTTTTTGTTCGAAAATATTGTGAGTCAATCTAAACAAACTAAGAATAAGTTTTAAAAATAAAAAAAAATTAAAATGGGACCAAATTTTGCCCAAACTCAAAATCTTTCTCGTTAGTTCCTGGTTTTGATTTTAAAACTCATCCTACCAGTCCGATCCTATTCCAAAACCTTAAATTTCGATTCAAAACCTTGTCTACTCCTATCTATAAGTATGCCTAAAAGGTATAAACAATTTTAGAATCGCATATTATTAATTTTCTTGAGCATATAATAATAATTCTTGTTATTGGTTTGTCCATGTACTGTGTATTTTCTTCATGTACTACAAAAATTCAGATAGTGGACAAAAAACATTGATGTGTAGCCTTTCCCTCTATCACACAATTGCACATATAAAAGTCAACTGCTGGACTCCGTAATTTGTTCAATCGAGGTTCCCGGCCTATTCTAAATTCCCTAATCCAACGGCACCATAATGAATTGAATTTAATTTTTTTAATGTAATTCATTTTAAAATTTGATTTAAAATTAATTAATAAAATTAATATATTTATAAATTATATAAAAACATTTATCAAATAAGAAATGACTTAACTACACCATTTGATAAATTATCAACAAATATTTATAGAAATAAAAATGTAATTTGATCATGTAAAGAGTAATTGTATTTTTGTTTTGAAAGAGGGGATATAAAAATAAATTAGTTGTGCTGGCCGGGTACAAGCAATTTGAAATTATGCATCTATAATTGATGGGCCGCACACATGTAGCACATGGTTCCTAATAATTTTCGAATTATTATATCTTATCCTATTAAAAAAAAGAACTGCATTTAGAAAAAAAATAGACTGATATATATACACCGTATAAAGGTGGTAGACTTCCACTTTTGATCAGAGGCGGACCCCTCCCCCACCCAAGTTCGATCCCCAACTTGGTGTGATCTTTTTCTTTTTTTAACAATAAGGTTCTTTTTATCTTTTTTTTCGTACAATAGGCAAAACGACGTGCTTAGCATTAAATTTAAATGCATTTCGACAGATCAACAACTCCTTTCACTACTAATTTTTATAGTAGTTTGAAGTTTGATACTCCGTATATGATTAGTAATATATAATAGTTTATAAATTTATACTTTTATTCACTACTTATTCATTAAAAAAATTTCTTCAATAAAAAATTGATTTAGGACTGCAATTTATAAGTGTTAATGTTCACTTTATGTCTAATTTGTAAAATTAGTATTATTTTTTATTTACAAAATTTAAAATGCAAAGGTACTTCAAAAAAGAACCCAAATTCAAAGAATCAGAGTCGAGTGGAATCGTAAGTGTTAGTGCTCCACTTTCCCAAGTACTCCATCTATGGCTATTCAATAAAGTACTAAACCCACTATGTTCAAGAAGGCACTAAATCTACAAATGTTCAAGAAAGCACTCAACCCAAACTTGTTCAAGAAAGCACTGATGTACTTCTATTGAAAGAAATTTTTATTTTGAGTGTTTGGAAGCCGACCCTGGATTAAGAAAGAAAATTTCTAACTTTCATCCAAACGTCCAATAAAAAAGTGTCTTACGTATGATTTCGTATCTACTCTCCTAATGATGGCATTGATACTTCCTCTTGCAAACTTGCAATATCAAGTGTTGAACGGTCTTTTTCGGGAATGAAGTTCGTGAAGAATGTGTTGCGGAATAAAATTTATGATCAATGGTTGAATAATTGTTTAGTAACTTATGTTGAGAGAGATGTCTTTTCCATCATTAATGATGATATAATTATATATCGCTTACAAAGTATGAAAACTAGATGAGTACAATTGTAAATGATATTGTTTTCGTATGACTTTATTACTATGTTTTAATTATGCTACTGTTCAAATATTAGGTTTAGTTTACCATTAAATGTTACGACTTATGAAATAAATTGAGATGATAATTGGAGGTAGGGGACCCCATGGTAGTAAAATCCTGGATCCGCCTCTGCTTTTGATACATATGGAGTACACATTTTTTTTCAATTAATTATATTCATTTTTTTGTGCTATTATTTTAACTACAATCTTCTCCTTCCAGCTTGAGCAATGCTAGGTTCACAAACATAATGCTCACAAACTTACTATTTATGGTTTAAATTTTCATTTTAGAATTATTTTAGATAATTTAATTTTTTTATTGAAGTTCACAAATAGTATGTTTGTGAAATTGGTGACTATTGTGTTTGTGAATCAAACATTTCTTAGGATTATCAGTCACATTTATTATTATTATTATTAATGTTGTTTGTATTTTTTATTATAATTATACTAATAATCAATATTTTAATTCATTCGGCCGGCTCGGTATGTGGGCTTGAACATAAAACTCGAGTTCGGCCCTAAAATATTCAGGCCACCATTTATAAGCTAAGGTCTAAGCCCGGTCCGTACCCTATAATGTCAAGCTCAAGCCGGTTATTTTGCAGACGAACTTTGACGGTGGACCTGATACCCGAATTCGTGATCGAGTCTACATAACGAATAAGAAAGACGGAATATTATTTGTATTTAATTATGTGAAATTTACCCTCAATAGAACTAAAACATAAGTCATTTCTAATGTAGGACTTAAAATTTTTTATTCCCTAAATATGAGTTAATGACTAGTGAGAAAAATAATATTCAAGTGATATGAAATATTTAGTTGAATAATGACTGATAAATATTGATCAATGGTCCTACATTGAAAAATAAAAATATATAATCCTATATTTAGAAAGTCATTATATGTAAGTCATATTTAGATAAATTATCCTTTACACTTAATTCGTAATATACTTAATTCGTAATTTAAAGTGTCACAAAAGTGACACACATTAACCAAAAAAATCAAACAGACAATCTTAAAATTGAGACAGTAAAAAACATTAAACCAAACACATAATGTATCAACATAATGAACAAAGGTTTAGCTCGCCATTAATTTACAAAATAAGAACTCAAAAAAGTTCTAATAATCGCTGCAGTTGGACAAAACACGTACGGAGATTAGTTACTAAACGTAATTAATTAATAATTTAATATACTTTCTTAGTAAACAGATTTCGTATATTAAATAAATGACTTCCTCTAACCGCTTCGCCGGAAACTCCGGCGCCACCGCCATCGCCGTCGTCAGATGCGGCTGCGGCAGAGGCTGACATGGTACTTCGGCCTACGTCACTCCTGCAACTCAGATTGTTTCGGTACCCGATACACATGGGAACGTTCAAGTTGAGCACACGAGCTTTGGGCACACCATTCGTCGCGCCGCCGTGTGCGGCGGCGGAGTTTTTCCGGCGACCGTCGGTTCCTTCTCTTTTGACGGGTTTCGAAACGGGAACGTCTTTACTGGGGATCTTATCGAGTTCGCCTTCCTTTTTGAGAGCCTTGTCGCCGGATTTCGACGGATTCTCGATGCTCCGACCGGTGGATATGCCGCTGCGGCGAACCTGCCAGACCGGGCTGCTCCGGCCCAGATGGACCCTGACTCGGGTCGGGCTTGCGGGCCATTTCCTCGATTTGGATTCCCCTGCGGAGTTACTACGCGAACACGGCGCGCTACTTACCTTCCGATGAGCCAACCCAGATCCGGCACCCACGCGCGGCCGTGCTCCGCCGTTACCCGCCGATCTGCTCCGCGAAAACGGCCAGATGTTTATATTCAGCTCCGCCGCGCTCGCGCCCCCACCCAAGCCGCCTCTCTTCTTCTCCTTGACAGTCTCTTCGTTTCCCCCCTTCGAACTCTTCTTCTCGCCCTTCTTGAAAATATCCCTCCACCGTTTCGAACTACCGACCGCCGACGCAGCGGAGGAGCCAGTCACCACCGCAGGGGAAACATCGGGTCCGTCCGACCCGGTTCCCTCCGGCATCTCCGTACGAGACACCGAGGGGTTTTCACCGGGAGATTCATCGGGGACCCGGGGGTGGTCATGCGGGACAAGGTCGAGCGGGAGGAGGAGGCCATCGGAGAAAAGCTCGTCGGCGGAGAGAAGGTCGGGCTGGGGCAGAGAGGGGTTACGGAGCATCCAAAACTCGAATTCCGGGGAGCTTGAGACGCTGCTTCTTCTTCTTCCACTGCTGCAATGAGTGAGAGTTCCGGGAACTTGAACATGGATTCCTTCCATTATTGTGACAGTATATATCTCTCTCTGGCTAACAACTCCGGGGAAGGGAAAT